TTGGTTAGTTGATTAACACAGAGAACGGAACCACTTGGATCCTGCAAAAAAGGAATTGAAAGCCTAGATACTATATCTAAACACATGGGATTTATCTTTTGAGAGATCACTTAACAAGTAGTAAGGTTAAAGGTCAATGTCAACCTACAAAAGCATTAAAACACAATCAAACTCTTTAAATAGTGCCAAAAACACATAATTTGCCTCTTTGTACATGACCTTGACCTTTGACCTTGACCCCAATTTCAAGATCATGAAACAAGGGCCTCAAATCAAAACACTCTAGGTCTCTACTATATATTGTTAATGAGTTATATTACCATACAGCTAATATTAGATATAAAAGGGGCGAAAACTCCCATTAAATGTCTACGTACCCTTTCAACTAAAATTTACGTGTTACGACATGTCGCAACTAACAATTCTGTAAAAATATGTTGTCGATATCTTATATCTTGTTTGAAAAGTGGTGAAAATGAGCCAAAATCCAAATTTACAAATGACCTTGACCTTTGACCTTGACCCTATTTTCTTTTTTTTGGACCAAGGACCTCAAATCAAAAGACCCTAGGTCCCTATCACTTATGGTTTACCAATTACAATTACATTTTACTTATTTTAAATACAGAAGGGGAAATAACTCTCATATGGAGTCATTGGACCGCTTCGGTCAAAATTATTCTTAAGATCCTGAGGATATAACGAGCAAATTGGTGAAATAATTTTGTCATATTCTTTTACGGTTGCGAAGGAGATTTGTACACAAGAAAAACAGTGTTTAGGGAGATAACTCTTACAATAAAAAGTGTTCGGCTTAACAGGGTCAGTTTCAAAATCGTAATAACTGTTCGATATCATATGCAAAAAATCTAAGCGACATCTTGCGAAACAAAAAAGCACCGTCAGAAAAAAGTGGCGGAAGAAGAAAAAAATAATAATCAGAAGAAAACCAATAGGTCTTTCCACAGAAAAGTGGAAAGACCTAAAAAAGGAACTATAAATGTAATTATTTATAAATATTTCGGATAACAGATATCCTTCATCACAATCATATTTACTGATGAAGGATATCTGTTATCCGAAATATTTATAAATAATTACATTTATAGTTCCTTTTTTTGTTATTTGTGTTGTTGTGTACACTTTTTAGGTGTTTATATATATATATTTATATGTTTTTGTCACAAATATTTTAATTTGTTTAAATGACAATATTGAATAAAGAGTATTGTTATTGTAATATTGTAATATCATATGGATAAGAGCAAGAACACATTGAATAAGTGAAAATAAATCAAAATTTTATAGAAAATTTACTTAAAATAAATAAAACAAAAATAAAGAATAAAGGAGAATTGATTCCCCAATAGCCCGACTGTGGTCAACTTTTGGGAATTCACAACTTCTTCATACATTTACGTCTTTTAAGTTGAGTCTGCAAGCAATCTTCTTCTGAGAAGGGCAACTTGTTTTAATAGGACTGCAAAATTTTTGCGTTCCTATTATGTAACGGCAAAACGGACCCACATCATTGTTCTGTATCCATGGTAACGGCAGCCATTTTGAAAATTACAAAGTCAGATGGCACATCTACACATGCCATGCTCTAAATTTTCCAGACACTTAGAGTATTTTGGATCATTTTAAAATATTTGACATTTTTGCAGTTTCCATGTCAACAGAGGCCATTTTGGAAATTCCAGAGTCAAAAGTCTCATCTATACTTGCCTGTTAACAATCATATTAAGTTGCATTAAGTTTGGAGCATTTTGAAATTTTTGACATTTTTGCAGTTTCCATGGCAACTGTGGCCATTTTGGAAATTCCAAAGTCAAAAGTCTCATCTATACTTGCCAGTTAACAATCGTAAGAAGTTTCATTAAGTTTTGAGCATTTTGAAATTTTTGAAATTTTTGCTGGTTTCCATGGTAACAGAGACCATTCCCAAAATTTTAATGACAGATTCCACATTGGTACATGGGAGGGAATATGCCATTAAAGTTTCAACATTCCAGCAGCGCCTGCATACGGAGTATTAATCTCCCAATTGATAAGATATTCCCGGGCTTGTATTTCCTATCATGATTTCCTTGATAGAGGTTTGCTGCTCACAAGGAAGCTATTAAACCAAGAGTTCCAAATGGTGAAGTTGAAATCACCCCTTCGTAAATTTTACGGACGCCATCACGAGTTGGTTGACCGTTATGGAATAACCATTTCACAGATGATATCGGATATGTTCCTTATGTCGTAACTACAATACCCTTCCCTTTTCGCGAATGTGACCTACCAAATTAGACTATTTACCGGATTTGTAATAACATAAGCAACACAACGGGTGCCACATGTGGAGAAAGATCTGCTTACCCTTCCGGAGGACCTGAGATCACCCCCAGGTTTTGGTGGGGTTCGTGTTGCCTAGTCTTTAGTTTTCTATGTTGTGTCATCTGTACTATTATTTGTCTGTTTGTCTTTTTATTTTTGGCCATGGCGTTGTCAGTTTGTTTTCGATCTATGAGTTTGACTGTCCCTCTGGTATCTTTCGTCCCTCTTCAATGGATTTGACCTACCATTTTAAGAGAGGAAATGCTACTTTAAGGTTTTTGGAGCATTTTGACTTTTTTTGCATTGTTTCCATGGTAACAGCAGCCATTTTTGAAATTTCAACTCCAAATTCCACATCTACAAATGCCAGTCAACATTACTGTGAAGTTTCATCAAGTTTGGAGCATTTTGAAATTTTTGAAATTTTGGTGTAGTTTCCATGGCAACATGGTAGTTCCAATGATTGTCAAAATCATCCAAAACCTGTATATAGTGGACAACTACATTGTGTCAAAATTTAATGATTTTAAGTTTAAGCATTCTCAAATAATTCACCAAACTCCAAAATTTTATTTTTTCACCTTTTTTCGGTTTCCATGGTGATGACAGCTATTTTTATGCCCCCGCCTTAGCGGTGGGGGCATTAAGTTTTTGTCCGTCTGTACATATGTATGTACGTCCCAAAATTGGTTTCCGTTCTCTAACTTGAGTTTGCCTCAACCAAATGTTATGAAACTTATACACAATGCTTATTACCACAAAACACAGATCAAGTTTGAATTTTGGTGGCGTCACTTTAACCGTTCTAGAGTTATGCCCCTTTATAAATGGAAAAATTGTAGATTGGTTCCTATGGCTCTTAGAAAACTCCTGGACAAAATTAGGTGGAAGAAAAATAATAATAATAATAATAGGGAAAAAGAAACAGAGGAAAAGCAATATGTCACCCGACATTGGGTAACATGATAATAATAAGAAACGGAACAAAAACATAAAGTCGCCAAAGAGGAGTCAGTTTTGGTGACTTCATAAGAAACGGAAAAAAAACAATAAGTCTCCAAAACTCCGTTTTGGCCACTTAATAAATCAATAAGCAGTTAAAGAGGTACACGTAGTAAAAAATAAAGATAAACAAAATATAATACTATGGCTCATAAATTTGGGTAATAACTTAGTTTTTGTTAAAAAATCAAAAATTTTGAGAAATGTCTTTTGTAAATACAAAACTCCAAAATAAAGGTAGTAGGCCAATGAAATTTTGAACAGTTGTGCATAATATGTAGATGTGCATATGATATTTTGGTGAAAATCACCTCATTAATTTTAGGTAAAATCTTCTTTTTTGTTAGAAATTTCTTCTTGTGATAAGATTTCATCAAAAACTGATATATATATATATATAGGTGTATTAAGTTGTTTCAAAGTGATTGTCCAAATAAAAAAAAAATGGTAAAAATTACTTTTTGTTTTAAAAAAATCAAATTTTGAGAAGAATCTTCTTGTGGTAGGATGTCATCAAAAATTGATATACAATATAGGCATAATATGCATTTCAAATTGTTTCCTCAAGTCAGAATTGTGTTAAAAACTTAGTTTTTTGTCTCGCCTGTGACGAAAGTTGCGGAAAGCGACATAGGGATTGCTTTTCCAGTGACAATGACAATGTCATCGTAGTTGGCGTCAACAATTGTTAAGTTTTCTGTTTAATTTAGTTTGATAGGATTACTTGTGATAGATCATTGATATTTAATATAAAGTTGCATTATTATTAGTTTGACGACTATTTTGTGGCCCTGCCCCCTAGGTTATGGTTCAGCAACTTTGAATTAATTAGCAATTTTTAATGTTAAGTTTTCTGCTTAAGTAAGTTTGATAGGAACTACTTATGATTGACCAATGATATTTTCTATAAAGTTACATCACTATCAGTACATATCAATTTGACGACTATATCAGCTCCCTGCCCCTGTAGGTCATGGTCAAGTGACTTTCAATTAATTACCAATTTTCAATGTTTTATATATATTAATTCTGCTTAATTTAGTTTGATAGGAACTACTTAGAATAGACATCAATATTTTCTATAGAGTTACATTACTGTCTGTACATCTTAGTTTGTTGAACATTTCGAGGCCTTGCCCACTAGTTCATGGTCCTGCCACTTTGAATTAATTAGCAATGTTGCTGTCCATTAGATTGTCTTTTTCTGAATTTTTATCCGACAGTCAAGACATATCTCCTGTCAACAGATTATGTTAAAAAAAAGAGGTAAATCCTGAGAATCGTATTTTTTGCTAGGATGTAAATGAAAATGATATTATTTGATATTACAAAACATTATCGGTGTCAAAATTATCGGTTGCCCACCATTTACTGAAATGCCCACCAAAATACATGTCATAGTACTTGGATTTTAACAAAACATATGTAAGTTGAGAACACATCATGAATTAATTGCTGGTGTTTAATTTATGAAAATTGGCAACCTATGAACATTTGCTTTGTATGCATCAGTCTCTTTGCCTCACATAAAAAATATGCAAGGGGGTCCTTGCTAACATGTTACTTTATTCTAGTTAAATTCATTCTTGATAATGCATTCGTTTGCTATGAAAATTATGAATTTGATTTTCTAGCAATTTCAGTTTGTATATCAGATTTTCTTGTTTTTATAGAATACTTCAAGATCATACAGATTCAAGTGGCATGCACAGTCAGGCTTTAGACTCTCTGAAACAGAAACTTGCTGAAGTAGAAGATTCATTGAAAACAGAACAGCAGTCATACAAGCAAGCACAGGTTACAATTCAATAGTTGGCATCAATTTCTATAAAAAATTTGATACAACGATAGATAATTCCTAATTTCAATCAATTTGAATATGAAAGTCTGTCAAGATTGGACATGTTCAACACCCTTTTGTCAGAAAATGATTTATGGGTTATCAGTTACTAAATCCTGATTGTAATGCTAATAGAAATTTGACTATTAGAATACTAAAACCTTTTTCTGTAATATTATTAGGTATGAGGGGGCCATACATAATGTTTAGGGAGCATAGGTTGGCTTTGCAATATTTCTATTTGTTTACTATGGAATAAGCATGCATCCAAATGAATTATTTCAGAATTTATAATCAACATGAAACTTCTCGTCTATATTTCTCAGAATCGAAAGTAGTATGATCCATTCCTGAAGAATTTGTATTTTTGTCGCAGAAAGCTCGTCATAGGGATAGTGATCCTGCAGCGGTGGAGGCGGCATTAGCTAACTTCTTAAAAGCTTTATATTTTAGAAGCTAGAAGACCTGGATGCTTCATACTTTGTATATAGATGCCTTATGTTACGAAGTTTCCGTCTGTCATATGTCCATTGTCCTTGACCTCATTTTCATGGTTCGATGACTACTTGAAAAAAAAGTCAATATTTTTTGTAATGTTAATTTCTCTCATAGTATGAGTACCGGTATTTAGTATGTGCGTACCTTGCAAGGTCCTCATGCCCGTCAGACAATTTTCATTTGACCTTGACCTCATTTCATGGATCAGTGAACAAGGTTAAGTTTGTTTCTTAGATACTATAAGCAATAAGTCAACTATATTTAATGCATAAATTGATTGTAAGGTGTACATGTCTGTCTGGCATGGTTCATCTGACCTTGACCTCATTTTCATGGTTCATTGGTCAATGTTAAGTTTTCTTGGTTAAGACTGTTTCTTAGAAACTATAAGCAATAGGTCAACTATGTTTGGTTTATTGAATGATTGTAAGGTGTACATGTATTTCTCGTTTTGTTTATCTGACCTTGACCTCATTTTCTTGGATCATGTTAAGTTTATGTGTTACTTGTAGTAAAGCTTTATGTTTAGGACTATCAACATAAAATCAATGGTTAGTAAAGAAGGCGAGACATTTCAGCGTGTGCACTCTTGTTAAGACTTTGATCATTTTAAGCTTTATTTATGACACCTTATGCAATTTATAGTAAAAGTAACTTTTCAACATCCATCTTATTAATTACCCAGACCATATAAGTATATATGCAGTATGCGAGACAGGGATTGTTATCCGGCGGCGGCAGCAGTGATGTAAACTTTTTGTATAAAGCTATATATTTCAGAAGGTAGAAGACCTGGATGCTTCATACCTTGTATGCAGATATCTTATAATTATGAAGTTTCTGTCTGTTCTATGCCCATTGTCCTTGACCTCATTTTCATGGTTCAGCGACTGCTTGAAATTTTTTGTTAGTTTTTTTTGTCATGTGAATTTCTCACTTATTATGAGTAATAGGATAACAATATTTGGTATATGGGTTCCTTGCAATGTCTACATGTCTGTCAGACAGGGTTCACCTGACCTCGACCTCATTTCATGGATCAGGGATCAAGGTTAAAGTTACGTGATTAGGTCCATTTCTCAGATACTATAAGCAGTAGGTCAACTATATGCGGTGTATGGAATGATTGTAAGGGGTACATGTCTGTCTGGCAGGTATCATCTGACCTTGACCTTGTTTTCATGGTTCATTGGTCAATGTTAATTTTTTGTTTGGTCTCTTTTTCAAATACTTATAACAATAGGTCAGATATGTTTGGTATATGGAATAATTGTAAGGTGTACATGTCTGTCTGGCAGGTATCATCTGACCTTGACCCCATTTTCATGGTTCATTGGTCAATGTTAAGTTGTTGTGTTTGGGTCTCTTTTCAATTACCATAACCAATAGGTCAACTTTATTTGTTGTATGGAATAATTGTAAGGTGTACATGTCTGTTTGACAGAATTTATTTGACATTTACCTTTTTGTCATGGACCTTTAAAAATGTCAAGTTTATGAGAAACTTGTAGTAATAACCTTTATCTTGAAGTCTTTCAACATAAATTTAATGGTCAGTAAAGCAGGTGAGACATTTCAGTGTGTGCACTCTTGTTTTCCCCCGCTCGAAGAATTGCGGGGAACATAGAAATACCAGGCGTCTGTCCGTCTGTCTGTCCATCTGTCTGGCTTTGTTAGCGCTCTCATGAGTACAATTCTTGCCCGATTTTTATAAAACTTAAAGTCTCCTACAAGTTCGAAAATCAGTGCCAATCAACTATTTTTAAATGTTTGCAGTCGTATATTGGTATGACGTTGGCGTCGTCGTTGTCGTCTGAAGACACATTGGTTTTTCGCACAATAACTTTAGTTTAAGTGAATGGATCTCTATGAAATTTTACCATAAGGTTCAATACCACAAAAGGAAGGTTGGGATTGATTTTGGGGGTTATGGTACCAACACTTAAGGAAATAGGGGCCAAAAAGGGGCCAAAAATAAGCATTTTTCTAGTTTCCAGACAATAACTTGTGGAATGGTGTATGGATTTCTCTGAAATTATACCATCAGTTTCCATACCACAAAGGGATGATTAGGATTTGCTTTGGGGGGTTATGGCTCAAACCATTTAGGAATTAGGGGCAAACAAGGGGGAAAAACAAGGGTGTCCTGGTTAATTGACAAATACTTTAGTACAAAACATAATTTAAAGCAGTGTAAGGGAGGTAATTCAAATACATTATTTGAATTACCTCCCTTACACTGCTTTTAAATTATGTATAAAGTAATGGTTAATGGACAATTAAGACAATTTAAAAGCAGTGTAAGGTAGGTAATCCAAATACAACGTTTTGATTACCTCCCTTACACTGCTTTCAAATTACAGTTAACTCTCGTTGTCTCGAACTCGGTTGACTTGAAATTTCGGATGAGTCGAAGTTTTCTCGTGGTCCCGGACTTTTTTCCATATATATATATGTATTTCGACTCCTGATGAGTCGAAATTGAATGAGTCGAAATTTCGGTTGACTCGAACTAAATTTACGGTCCAAAGGTTAACAAAAGCATTCATTACTTATCTCGAACTAATACACATGTGTCAAAACATGACCTCGGGGATTTAAATGGATTGAAGAGTTAACCTGACAATACACGTGTAATTAAATTTCCAGTCACTGACCACTGTATTGATTATTGACATTCTTTTTCCACGAATGTTTACCTAAGATTATCTTTGATCAACATGATGAATAATTCGTGATACATTGTTATAGTTAATGAAAAATTGTTTAAAATGTTTTAAAAACAATTAACCGTAAACATACACTAATGAGCTTGGTTGTGTATAAAGTAGGGATTAAGACTTCCGTTGGTGATCAACTCAAAACTACTCAATCGGCGTCTTTAATCTTTTTGTATTTCCTCTTGCAGAAAAAGATTGAAATAAAAGAAAATGAAAAGAAATTTAAATTTTCTAAAATCTCTTGTATACGAGAATGAAGAATTTTGTCAACTTTAAATAACGCTCAGATCGATTGGAAATTATTCTCTCGGCTAAAAACCACAGGAACAAATTGTAACTGTAAAAAAAAATAAATAAGAGAAGAATACATAAAATGTTATTATAATAATAAAAGACCATAACATACAGATACATCGATCTTAGACCAGAATATCGATCCCCTACCCATATTCATCCGGATTTATTTTAGCTTTACCAAGCTAAGTAAGAGTTGTGTCCCTTGGTCTGTCAAACTTCCGGTTTTCGTTTGAGTCGAACTACGGGTATCTCGAAATATTTCTCTGTTCCGGCTGACTTCGAGATAACGAGAGTCGATTGTATGTTTAAAGAAATGCATATGGAAGACCAGTAAAAATATCTGCAAATGTTGCATTTTTTTTTTTTTACAAAAAAATCCATATGAAAGATTTGACACCATATTTTAAATTCTATTATAAAATAGATTAAGTTCGCACTATGGTAAATTTAAATGGGTAATTATGGTTGCAAACTCCATTGGAAATTTGAATTGAGATTATGACCATATCTTAGGTCCGAGTACACAGTTATCGTCCTTTGATTTTCGTTGTCCACGAATAAAGTCCCTAGTGTGGACAGTGTGTTGCTTGCCAATTTTTTTAGTACCCCTTCCAAATGTATCCCTTCATGTTTTATGCCTCAAATAGCAAGTAGGGGGATGAAATTACACTGTAAAAAAATTTGGGTCATGAATTGTAAAGTAAAGTAGTGATTTGGTCCAGCTGAAAAAGGTTAAAAATTAGCACTTCGGAAGCTGTCAAAAGATTTCAAGACCCCCTTAACATAGAATTGTCCATATTTTGAGTTAGAGCCGATGAAGTTTTCTATAATTTTGATATAATTTGTCCCAAAAGTAGTACAACACACTGTAAAAATATTATTGAGAAAGCGCAGGTGGGATTTTTTTTATTTTCATTTATTGTCTAAAAGAAATGCACTACGAAATAACTGTGTACTCAGACCTAAGAGGCGAAATCAGTAAATATAGAATCTGTACTTTGGCAACTTCCCTGAATGATATAATGGTGTCAATTTGTCAGATAGCATGAAACTAAAGGATTTAAACTTTTATTTGATAGAAATTCTGCAAAAATTACCCATTTTGGCATTATATGGTCAAAATAAGCATTTCAAAGCTTTTTCAATTTTGATGCATAAGTGGCATTCTGACTTTCTATGTGACAGGTTTTCCTGTGTCAATATTTGTGTTTCTATGCTTTAACCCAGTTGTATTACTCATTTGTGAACTCTGAATCTACAGAAAATAAGATTATCTCAGACAATATGTGCAAAATGTGTTGTATAAATGACCCTCGTGTAAAACGGCCTGTTTGGATCAAGTTAAATGTGAGGACCTAGGTAAATAAAAGTTGAAGTCCATAATAAAGATTTCACTAAATTTGTATTAAAAGCACTTCACAATGTCTTTTGTACCTGTTTCG